TCGAACTCTGCAGCTTGTGTGCCCTCCCGTACCAGGCTCCATGAACCGATCACCCCAATCATTGCCCGGCCCCAATGGCTCCCCAATCCTCACGAGGATCGAGTTTAAAATCCTCATCTTCACTTTTAAAGCTCTCCACGGTCTCCACTTCCTCTGTGACCTATTAACACCACTACCAACCTGCCCGCTCCTTCCACTGAGCGGGCACTGGCCTGTACGTTGCCCCCACTCTGCCCACCCCAGCATCGGAGGTAGGGCCTTCAATTGTTTCTTCCCCCACTCTGGAACTTAATCCTGGCATCTCTCCACTTCGCCCCCTCCTTTAAGGCCTGTCTCAAGACTTTCCTCTTTGACCCCGCTTTCGGCCAACCTCTCACCCACCCCTAGTCCTGCAGCAATCCTGATGTTGCCATCAACCTGCTGAATGACTGTCTTTCCACAACCTTCAATTCCCGGCTCCCCTAAAATCCAGGGTTGCTTCCAAATCCACTCGCTCCCCCTGGTACAACAGTTCTCTCGGCTCACTCAAAACACAAATCAGGATGTTTGAGCAAGGATGGCAGAAATCCGGCATCACAATTCACTGCCAGCTATGGCTCAAGAACCTTTGCACCTACTGCCTCTCGCTTTCACAGGCCAAAACTGATTTTCACTCCAAAGTCATCTTGGAGGCAAACAACAATCCAAAGATGCTGTTTTCCACCGTCCATCACCTCCTCCGTGCATCCCTTCAAGCCCCCTCTATCCTCACATCAAACACCAAGTGTGAAGAGGTCTGAGATGGAGGGACTATGGGATAGAGTTACAGAGTGTGGGGGCACAGTGGCGGAAGGCCTGCCCGCCGATAGTAGGGCGAGCAAGGTGGGGACATGAAGTAGGCCAGAGCCCGCTGAGCGGAGGATTCGAACAGGATGGTAGGGGGTTAGGAGGTCGGTAAGGTAGGGGGGAGCAAGACTATATAGGGCTTTGAAGGTGAGGACCAGGATCTTGAAATGTATCCTCTTTGTGATGGAAAGCCAGTGGAGTTGGGCAAGGATGGGATGATAGGGTCACGGAGTCTAGTGCAGGAGAGGACACGGGCTGCAGAGTTCTGGATGATCTGCAGCCTGTGGAGGGAAGAGTTGGGGAGGCCGATAAGCAGTGAGTTTGTACAGTCGAGCCTCGATGTAATGAAGGCATGCATGAGAATTTTGGCGTCCTGCGGTGTGAGACAGTGTCGGAGCCGGGAGACTCCTTTGGGTACAAGGGGTACACTCCTTTGCACCCATTTCTCCCACCCAACCACATTCATCCAGATGAAGTTCATCAACTGGTGCCTCAACACCCTCCCCACCCAGCTGCTGGTCACTCAACTCTCTCTTCTCTCCCTCCTGCTGGCCAACATGGTCGACCAGTCTTTCTCCTTAGGCTCTGTTCCACTCCCCCTGAAAACCGCTGTCATCACACCCCTCCTCNAAAAAACCACCCTCGATCCCTCTAGTCCCTCATGCTACTGTCCTATCTCCAACTTACCTTTCATTGCCAAAGTCCTGGAACTCATTGTTGCAGGTCAACTTTGGTCACACCTCTCTCTCCACTCCCTCCTCAAGCCCCTGCATGGCCCCCATAAACATCTTCACTCCTGCGGATCTAAATCTCCTCAACCTCCCTGGACTCTCCCTCAGAGTCACCGAACCAGTGCGCAACCTAGGCGTCCGGTTCGACCCCCAACTGTCCTTCCTCCCCCACATCCGGTCCTTCACCAGGACCGCCTTCCTCCACCTCCGCCACATTGCCCGCCTTCAACTGTACCTTATCCCAAATGCAGCCTCGTGCAACGTTTGTCACCTTTTGATTGGATTACTTCAACGCATTCCTCGCTGGTCTCCCCAGATCCACCATTCAAAAGATCCAGCTCATCCAAAACTCTGTCGCCCGCATACTGACCCGGACCAAACTCTGTGCCAACATCTCACCAGTTCTGGTCCAGGCTGACTGGCTCCCGATCACCAAACGGATCGATTTCAAGATGCTCACCTCGTGTTCAAATACATTCAATCCCTGGCACCTCCCTACTTCTCCGAGCTCCTCACTCCCCAGTCCACAACCCGGCGCCTCCGCTCGACTGGAACTAACCTCCTATTCATCCCTCACACCCTCCGCCCCACCATGGAGTCCTGTAGCTCAGTGGTTAGAGCACTCGCTTTGCAAGTGAGAGACCTGAGTTCAATTCCAGGCAGGTCAGGGCGAAACCTTGGGCAAGTTTCCTTACTCCACACAGAGCCTAATAATAATCCCTCCAAAACCAAAAACAATAATAAATTGTCATTTTCAATATACGACTGTTTGTGGGACATTGCTGTACGCAATTGGCTGCCGCGTTCGCCCACAAATATACAGTCAATTCACGTTACAGTGTGTTCTGTGAAGCCCTTTGGGACGTCCTCCCGACGTGAAAAGCGCTATATCAAATGCAAGGATTATTATTATTAGAGGTCACACTTTCAGCCACTTCGCCCCAAAACCCTGGAGCACTCTCCCTCAATCCCTCTGCCTTGCCCCCTCTCTTACCTCTTTTAACTCCTGCATGAAAACTTTGCTCTTTGACTGTGCATACGGCCGCCTCCCCTCCCCCACTAGCTCGAAGTCAGGCTCCGCCACCATTATGCGCTCTGAGACGCTACCCAGTGTGGAGGGTGCTATATAAGTGCAAGTTGTTTTTGTTGTTGTACCCTTCACCCCTTTTGATTCCAATCCCCAGCTGGGTGCAAATTCTTGACTGTTCAGGGCTTCGGGGCGTTTTTCTGACTCGAAAGGCGATATATAAATGTAATTTTATTATTGTTATTGACTGCACTGGATTTGGAACACATGAGATGAGAAACAATTTATTTTCCAATCCTATTCAATAGACTAATTCCCATGTTTAAGCTTCTATCCACATCTGCAATCTCAAAGTTGCTGAGTGGTAGTAATGCACACTGTATATCCCTAAAGAAGACAGTCTACTTCCCTTGTACCTCTTGCAGACTCTTTACAAAATTGGTTTCAAATTGGTCCGTTGTCAAAGTCAGAGTCAGCACGAAAAGTAATGCTCAAAGAGCCTTGTAATCAGCTAAGAGATGAAGGAAACATCTGTCATAGAAATGGAGAGAGTGCAGCGAAGATGATACCAAGGTATGAGCTAACATAGGTATGAAGAGAGGCTGGCTAAAATGGGACATTTTTTACTGGAACAGAGGAAATTGAGAGGGGCTGTGACAGAAGTCTTTAATATTCTGAAGCGGTACGGCAAGAGAAATGGGAAAAAGCAATTACTTTAGTTGAAGAATCAGTGATGGATAGGGAGGGAGCAGGAAAGAGTTTCACGACCATCAGTAGAAAAATCAGAGGAGAGGTTAGAAGAAGCTTTCCCGTAAAATTCGCATGGTGCAGGATTCATTACCGCAAGTGGTTATTGAGGCCGGATCAATAGAACAGTTCAAAAGGGAACTGAGAAGCAATAACATTAAGGAATATAGGCAAATAGCTGCAAGGAGACTGATATAAACTTAGAGTGGTAACAGTAGTGACTCCTTCTATGCTCAAGACCTCTGCTTCTTATTATCCTGAAACTCCTCCAAAATAATAATAATAATAATAATGTAGTCACTCAATACACAACATATTTATGGGACACTGCTGTGTGCAATTGGCTGCCGCATTTCACCCACAAAACACACTTTATAGTATATTCGGTGAAACGCTTTGAGACATCTTGATGACGTGATAAGGTGCTGCATCAAATGCAAGGATTATTATTATTATTATTATGCTCGCTGCAAAAAAAATTGTCTAAAATAAGTGCAGAATGCGGTTTATCCTGAATCCACGTTAAGTGGCAAGGAAGAAGCTTGGGCTCCGATCAAGAGAAGATGATTAAAGCACTGAACTTTTCTGTGTGCTTTTAATTAGCGCTGCAGCATGAAACACATTCAATCATGCACCACACACTCATTAAGGGGACGGAATTCAGCTCATATATAAAGATAAAGGCCAGATGTTCCTTTCAAGTCAACATTTCATCTGGCTTCATCGGCTCTCTTAAGAGTGAATAAAGGAATATCTTTTATGCATACCCTTTGACAGAGAAGAGATTCAAGGGTAAAACACACAGAAACACACACTTTCTTAACCCATTCATAGAATCGTACAACTTTTTAGCACAGAAAGAGGCCATTTGGCCCATTGTGCCTGTGCGGATTCTTTGAAAGAGCTACCAACGAGTCCCATTCCTCAATCTTACCAAATAGTCTTGCAAATTTTTCCTTTTCAAGTACATATCCAATTCCTTTTGGAAAGTTACTATTGAATCTGCTTATACCACGCTTTCATTCCTTGTGCTAATTAACATAGGGAGGGGGTAGGGGTAAGAAGCATACAGCAAGCTGTTTTTGGTCAGCTACATATCTGACACATCTGAACCTTTCAAAGACCATGGATTCTTTCCACTCAGCTCCTGTTAATGCTGCAAGCCAAAGCCCTAATGAGTAGGTGGTCCTTCTTGGACAAGCAGTGGGAAAACTTGCCATACAGTGCTCACAATGATAAGCTGTGTGGTTTCAGCTGGTTAGACCATAGCAGTTACTCCAATGCAAACTCTGGGGTCCCCAAGCCTTGGCTCTTGTCAACCCTCGCCTAATAGTTTCTGGAATTAGGTAAGCAGGATGCATCTCTCCAGGAAAGAGTGCATATTCCATTCTAATAAACTATCTCTGGGCTCTGGGATTTCCATGTGTAGATGGGATGCATGGAATTCTTAGTTTGATTTGGATACTCTTAAGCATGGTGATGGGTTTCCACATGTGCCAAACACTCAGCTGACAAAAATAAATTCCAGAAACAGTAATATCCTTGTGTAGGTGATATACATTCATAGAATTTTTACAATTTTACATTTATATAATGCTTTTTACAGCTGCAGGACATCTTGATCGCTTTAATGCTATTTATTTTTCACCATAAAAGTGAATTGGACTCACCATATTTATTATGGTAAAAATGTACGATTCCACGTTTTCCCTGCCGTGGTATTCAATCATCTTGGTGTCCGCCACTACCAAGGTTTCCACCCATCGCTCTTTGCTGACTGACCGCTGGGAGATAGTGTGTTCTTTTCTCCGGGTCTCTTCCCATTTCTCTCTCTGTCTCTCTTGTTCCAGGACACTGCTGGTAGAGTCTAGGCAGAGAGTGGAGGCAAAAACACAAGTTCATGGATAACATGCTGGAATTTTGCAGTATTTCTTGACACATTTCTTAATTAAGAAATCCCGATTGGTGACTGGACATTCACCTCTCACATTATACCGACTAGTGGGAACCTCACACCTAAGACAGGATGTACTGATGTTCGGTTGGAAGCAGTCTCGCCTTTGGAGTCAGAAGATCGTAGGTTCAAGCCCCACGTCAAGCCTTTGAACTCGAATCAAGAATGAATCTTGTATAGTGCTGGAGGTATGCTACATTATCGGAGGTGTCTCATTCGTGTTTGGGTTGCCAGTTTCTCTGGATTTCCAATTAATTCTTATCATTAAAGTGGTTAAACATTGAATGGTGTCAACCTGGCTTTATCGGCGACTCATTCAGTAGCACTCTCACCTAAAAAACAAGGTCCATCAGTTCACCTTCCGCATTCCTGGCAGTCACATGTACATATGTCCCAAACTACCTATGTACTGTATCCCATAATGTTAGTCCCTAAAAGAATAGTATCTAATCTGTGTTTGAAAGAATCAACACTTGCTGCTTCAACCGTCTCCCTAGGGAGCTCCTTCCACACTAAAGTAGTGTTTGTGTAGATTCGTTCTGAATTTACACCACTTCAATCGCAGGCCGTGTCCTCTGGTTCTACTATTCTGGACAGGTTGAAACAGCCTGCTGTGATCTACACTGTCATTCAGTTATAATGTGCTCGTTCATTTAGATGCTTTGTGACAGAACAATCTACCTGTAAACTTTAGTATGTGCAAATAAAATCTAGTACCTTATCCCTCAACGGGCTTTACAGTGAAGAACTGTCAAGACACACTCTGAAACATCAATCCAACTTAAATGTGCTATATAATAATAAGAATCCTTGAATTTGATACTGCGCCTTTTCAAGTCGGGAGGAAGTCCCAACAAGGATTCGCAGCATATACAACAACAACAAATTGCATTTATATAGTACCCTTTATACGGGGTAGCATCCACGGAGTCTGGCAACGAGCCAGGGAGGGAGGGAGGGGGAGGTGACCGTAAGCACGATCAAAAAGGAAGGTCTTTAGACAGGATATATTGTAAAGTGCAGTGAATGTGTGTTTTGTGTGCAAATGTGGCAACCAATAGTGCACAACAACATCCCACTGACAGCTGGGAAAATAAATGACCAATATATAAGTGTAAGTACAAGATTATGATCTCATCACCTGATTGACTGCAAATAAAGCAGCCTTTCGCACGAAAAAAAATCCCACAAATATTCATGAGATTAACAGACAATTTTACCTGGAGGATTTTTGGCCAAGACACCAGAGAAACTCCCCTCTCTTTTCCAATTGTGTCATGCTATCCGAAGATCAGACAGGACCTGGGTTCAATGTTTGATCCAAACGGCGACACCCAAGTATCTCCGATGGAGTGCAGGCCAAGAACTCCAGCTCAGGTCCTGACGTGTGTCTACAGCTAGTGAACTGGCAGAGAACTGAGCCATGCTAGGTTTAGGATCTGATTTGCTTTATTTTGCCAGTTGCAGCATGCTGGAGCTAATCATTTCAAAGACGCTACCTGAAAATAAATAGCGAGCAAGGTCTCTATAGATTTTATTCTTTGGCAATCCAACGTCTTTTTTCTTGTTAAGAATTTTTCTTTTTGGTCAGCCCGATGTTTTACACATGCAGAAACCCATCATCGTGCTTAATAGCATCCAAACCAGAGAAAAGATTCCACATATGTATGCGACCTACACATTGCATATTTTTGTACTTGGAATGTAATGTGCACTCTCCCCACAGAGGGATGGACCCTGTTTACCTAATCCTGGAATATTAGGTGCAATCCATGACTGTTTGTGGGACACTGTTGTGTGCAATCGGTGCTGCGTTTTGCCCACAAAATACACAGTCACTACATTTTACAGTATATCCTGTGAAGAACTTTGAGATGTCTCGACGATGTGATAAGGCACTCTATCAAATGCAAGAGGAATTATTATTATTATTATATTCTGTGAAGCGCTTTGAGACGTCTCAAAGATGTGATAAAGCGCTATAGCAAATGCAAGGATTATTATCATTATTATTATTATATGTTGGAAAGAGCCCTGCTACCGTCAAGCTCCACAACTCCAACTGGTGGAATCATCGCTCGATTGGAAAAGAGGGGTGTCTGAGCTGGGCCACAGGATGTGTGAGAGCATTTCATGCAGAGCTGTGTGGCTCACAAGGAAGTTCTCAAGGAATTTCTGGTACCAACTATCTGCCAAGTGTCTGCTCAATCATGTGCTAGTTAGATGTCAAATGACCGACTGGTAATTACCTGCCTACCGAGGACTCCTTCGAGCTGTGGATGAGCCATGAGCTGGGCCAATAGAAAAGGGCGGAATCCGCCACAAACCTCGGTCCAGCTACAAACCCGCTTATGAATGTAGTTTCCAGCCCGCGGGTCTCCCGGCTGTTTAGCTGACGTGGGTGGAACTGCGCCAGATGCACATGCATGGGGCGGCGCACGCGGCAAATGGGCTTCACTCGGAGGCTCTGCTGTTGTGATTCTCCGTGCGCTTGTGGGTGCGATTGTCTATGTGGCGATCACGCCATCCTCCTCCACTGCCTTTCCTCCGTCATCCACCTCAGTGGGACCGCACTCGCCTGGTTCGAGTCCTACCTCGCAAACCGCCAGCAGTACATCTGCACAAACGGCTTCTCCTCCCGCTCTCACCCGGTTACCTGCGAGGTACCCTAAGGATCCATCCTTGGCCCCCTCCTCTTTCTGATCTACATGCTCCCTCTTGGGGATGTCATCCGTAGACATGTGGTACATTTCCACATGTATGCGGACGACACCCAATTCTATTTTTCCACCTCTCTTTGCGAGCCCCCCAGTCCCCTGATGTTCTGTCAGCCTGCCTGTTAGTTCTCAGGGGCTGGATGAGCGCAAATTTCCTTTAGCTGAACGTTGACAAGACAGAAGCCATACTCTTTGGCTCTCATCAACGTCTAAAATCTCACAGCTCTCACCCCTTCCATGTACCCGACCTCCCCCTAAAACTCTCCGAACCCGTACGCAACCTAGGCATCAGGTTCGACCCCCAATTATCCATCTTCCCCCACATCCCTCACCAGCAACGCTTTCTTCCACCTCCGACACATCGCCTGTCTCCACCAATACCTCTCTACGAAAGCTGCTGAAATCCTGGTCCATGCTTTTGTCACCTCTCGGCTGGACTAGTCTAATGCCCTCCTCGCCGGCCTCCCCTCCACTACCATCCATAAAATCCAGATTATACCAAACTCTGCCACCCGCATTCTCACCCGCACCAAACTCCACAGCCTGATTATCCCAGTCCTTGCCAGACTGCACTGGCTGCCTGTCCCAGAGAGGATCGACTTCAAGATCCTCACCCTTGTATTCAAATTTCTCCACTCCTCTGCATCCCCCCTACCTCTCTGACCTCCTCTCTCCTCAAAACAGCACCTGTTGCCTTTGTTCCTCCGGGTCTGGACTCCTCCTTGTCCGCCGAGTCCTCCACTCCGCCCTCAGCGGCCATGCCTTCAGCCACTATGCCCCGAGGCTCTGGAACTGCCTTCCTCAGTCCCTTCGCCTCGCCCCTCCCTTCCCATTTTCAGATCTCTGCTGAGGCCTTTCTTTTCGACCTCGTCTTTGGTCACCTTCCTCCCCCTCCCCCTGACTCGGTCCTGGGATCTGTTACTGTGAAGCGCTCTGAGACACCGTCCGGCATGAAGGGCGCTATATAAATCCAAGTTGTTGTTGTTGTATGTACGTCTCTCAATATGCATTTGTGTGTGTCTCAATCTGTTTGTGAGCATGTGTGAGTATGTCTTTGCCTTCATCTCCTCTGTGTGCCTGCATGTGTCTCTCTCTATGTGTTTGTGAGTGTCTCTGTGTGAGTGTGAATCTCTCTTTGAGAATGTGTGTCTTTCTGTGTCTGTGAGTGTTTGTCTCTCTCTGTGCTTCTGTGTGTGTGTTTCTCTCCCTGTGTCTCTGAGTGTGTGTGCGTCTCTCTGTGTCTCTCAGTGTGTGTGTTTCTCTCTGTGTCTGTTTCTCTGAGTGTGTGTGTGTGTCTCTCTCTCTCTCTCTGGGTTTGTGTGCGGTGCTCGGCCCTAAGAGGTCCAGTAGCCTTGCTGATGTTCCCCCTTGCCCCTGCAATCTAACATGCGTTATTTCCTCATGTTGAGTTTTTATCAATAAAGTGAAAAAAGTAGGTTGTTGGTAAAATGTACATCAATGACACGAATCAAAACCCTGTCATTTTCTGAAAAATGTGTCAAAAACCCTTGCAATTTCCTGCAAATCTGCCCAGAATTTTGGGCAAGTATTTCCGCACTTTTCTATTGGCCCAGGCCATGAGCAACAAATAGACAGGCAATGACTCTTCAGTCTTGAAAGGAGATGTCTCAAGAGGGCACAACTATAACAAATTACATTTGTGTAGTGGCCTTCACGGTGGCAAGACATCCCAGGGTGCTGGACAGTCAGGGGGTTTTAGACTCTGTCGAGGTATAGCACATTTTAGATGGGATTAGAAAAGTAACAGAACAATACTAGTAGAACAAGAGGACAACATTTTAGAATTGCATAGTGCAATTTCAGGACAGATACCAGGAAGATTTTCTTTAACCAGAGTATAATTAATGACTGAAAGAGATTGGCGGGAAGGGTGGTTGAGGCCAGGACGCCTGACTCATTTACAAAGCAGTTTGATGCTGTAATGAGAACAACAAAATTACATTTGTATAGCTCCTTTCACGTTGAGCGGACGTCCAAGATGCTGGAAGAGGATAAAATGGATATTTTGAAGGGTGAGTTAATAATAATAATCCTTGCATTTGATATAGCGCTTTTCACGTCTTCTAGAAATCTCAAAGCGCTTCACAGAATATACTGTAATGTGAACTGACTGTATATTTGTGAATGAACCACGGTAGTCAACTGTGCACAGCAGTGTCCCACAAACAGTCGTGG